TGATCTCTTCCTAACCTTCTCTGCATAGCTTTTGTACATGAAAGCTGGGGGGATGCTTGAAACAAATTAGTTTGTACAAAGTGTTGCCCGAACACAGCTGAGGGCAAAACTGAGGAAAAAAAGCCTGCCATTGTAGGGATGAATTTTACAAATGTGAAAAATAATGCAAAGTTTTGGATTTGAACAGGCAGATGTAACGTGACAATCTGACATGCACTGTGGTTGAAGCTTACTGACATCTTAGAGCATCTTTATCTTATCTAAAACAGAATATGCAGGTGGTATTTGGTTCTTAAAGGGATTTGAATCAAATCCTACAGGTACGATTGGATTGCAGAGAATTGGATGTGGCTTAAAAGAATCTCCTTCACCTGTGTTGTTAGGATAGTGGTTGGATTAGCAAATTAAACCTCAGCCACATTCTTTGTTTTGTTTTCAATTGTAACAACACATACCTCCATCTTTGATTTTGCTCTGCTAGCTACTCAGAAAACATTTGATGGAATGAACTTCTGCAATGTGCCCCAAGGGAAATATTTGGGTATATATTTAAAAAGTAAAAAAATTTAAAAATGCATACCAGATTAAAGTGTTTTTTGAGCATGTAACAGGAGGTATGTGAACAATTGAAAGGGAGGCACAATATTAGAACTGTAGTACTGGTACTACTGTTGTCCCTATATCCCTGTTTGTTAATGCTAACCATTTTCACTGTCTATAAACCTCAAAGTCCGTCTCTTAGTTATTTAAACTTAAGTTACGTATTTAGTTTTTCCCATAAACCATCTTAGATTTTACTCCCCACTGTTGCTCCCTCTACAAATGTGCAGCTCTATGAAATCCCTGTTTATTGACCTTCAGGTCTGAAAAGCAAAGTTAACGTGAAAGTGCCTTCACCTGCATTGTTATCATGGCCAGCAGGGGGCGACTCCTCTGGCTACACAACAAAGTCTGATTTTATTCAAGTCTATGAGAAACGTACCGAACTTCTCACTTGATGTATTACCTCAGTAACATTTTCTTACTGACTTAAGGGTCTCAGTTGCTAGTTTTAGGTCTCCTTTAATACAGCATGTCGTTCATTTTATAAACTATGCTCCCATTTAAACTAAAACAGATGAAAAAGCGAGGTATGTTTTCGGGTTCGGTTACAGGTTGCCACCATATTGCTGAAGCTTGAGACTTCACAACTGCAGTCGACAAACCAATGGGTAACGTCATAGTCGCTACATCTATCTTTTATATACAGTCTATGTACTTTACTCACCCCTCCTCACTTGCAGCAGCTCGAGCACAACAGCTCACCTACGACTCTGCTCAAGCAATATCAAGCTACACAGCACAGTGGCAAGTTGTACAAATGGATTAATTCAGGCACATGTCACAGAAAGTGATTCTCAATACGAATAATTAGAATCAGAAAAAGCTTTATTGCACACACAAGGAATTTGCCTGAGTTACTTCACAGTACTCACGAGGGGTGCGTTAAACAACAAGAGCAGAGTTAGTAAGTAATACATATAAAATCTACAGTCCTACGAAGTACTATAAAATAGCTTCAGCCATTAAAATAGAATTTACTACAAAAAACAGTGGCATTGTATTTACATAAAAGATCAAATAAATTACAGTAATAATAATGATACAGAAAGCTGCAAGTTGAATCCTCAGAAGTCTGAATCAATCGTTTCAGCACCGTCATTGGCACATGGCAGTTTCAGGATCAATTTGACTACTTATTTTGCTCAGAGGCTCATTTCACGTTTTCTCGCATATAAAGAAAACTATATGGGCATGTTAAAAAAAAAAAAAAAAGAATTTCTAGCCTTTAATGAAAGGTGGGGGGGCATTTTGAAGACACATGTAAATGTCCTGCTGATATGGACATTAGTTCAGTATGAGGACTTGTTACTCTGAATATAGATTATTAGAAGAGCGAGGCCCTGGTCTGAGTGCACACTTCACCAACAATATTCTCTCTGTTTGCAGTTCACACCCATCACACACACACACACACACACACACACACACACACACACACAGCCTTCTCAAACAACAGCACAGCAACTCTCCACAAGGTCACTGTCTTACTCAAACTGTACTGTACCGTGTGTGTGTGTGTGAGTGTGTGTGTGTGTGTGTGTGTGGTGCGTTTCATTTGTCTTTCCCTCTCTCACTGTCAGGCCTTTTGTGCGTCTCCTTCTAAAGAAGCTGTCAAGCTGTACTGTTTAAGGGCTCGCAGGAGGGACAAAAAGCATACTTTGTTTTGTTTTGTTTGCCTGCCGTAGTGTTGGGCTGAATGAGTGAGTGGAGTGGGAGAGTGAGAGTGAGAGAGAGAGGTAAAGAGAGGCGAGTGAGAGCGGAGTGGGGGGTAACATGTAATTTACTGTTTGCCCCACTCTACTGTACATCGCTTTAGTTATGCTAATGCTGCTCTTTGTCGGGCTGAGGAGATAGCCATCAATCACCTGTCAATTGGTCAATTGGAAGAAAAGAGAGAGAGAGAGAAAGGGAAAGAGAGGGCCCCTGTCCCCTCCCTCCTCGTCCTCCTCTTCTTCTTCTTCTTCTTCTTCTCCTCTTGCTACCTAGCGGACTTGGGGGTCCTGGGAAAGCCCGGCAGCTGGATCCGGATCTGGAGTCCAGGTGGAGTGCAGAAGGAAGATCTGGGGCAAAGTAACAAGAGAGAAAGAGAGAAAAAAAAAAGTGACAGTCTATTTTTTTTTTATGTCTCCGCAAGAAGCTGCCTGTGTGACAAAGTCCTCAGAGTCTTTGTTTTCATGTTGTTGTTGATGTCAAAAAGCTTTTTTAAAAGGAGCATCTAATTGTAATATGACACCTCTGGAAACTTGCAGTGCCACTCAGAGTCGTCGGCCGCTGTCAGCACAAGACAAACCCTTTATTATGCTAGCTAATGTTAGCGCTAAGATAAGCTAACAGGCCCATTAGTGCCAGTTCATTTAGCTCGTTAGCCGAAGCCTCCGGGCTGATGACATTCATTACATATCATTAGTGCACAATTAACATGTCTCACTCTGACACCGTTGCTCTCAATGTTACACGACACTTTTAATCATGTTTTATGAAATGTTTCCGCCGGCGTGACATGATTTATGAGTTTTACATGACATGGCATTAATTACATTAACCAGCTGTAATCATAAATGTGGTGCAGACTGATTCCACGCCTAAATCCTGCCCTGTCCTTGTGACGGAAAATTGGGCAGTAGTTTATTTAAAATATTGTACTATTATTAGTTTATAAATATCCGAGAAATGCAGTGTAGATTCTGCATAACATTCCATTGTCTCCAGATACATTTTGTCACGATGACCCAGTTCTCATTTCCAGAAAATTACAGAGGATACTAATATTTGTTAAACAAAAAAAAACCCAACAACCTTCAACTGAGATGAGGTGTGCCACTTTTTATGGATAGTTTTTTTTAGTCCTTAGATGCCAGTGTACTTGTTTTGAGAATGGTTGAAGTGAAGACCCACTTTTTTATTCAGAAATGTGTTCTCAGGTACTCTGACACTGAGTTTAGCAGATGTCGATTTTTAAAAGGGTTTTATGTCTACGTCAGGCAGGTTATTTTATTGCTTTTTGAACCTATTTTACTCATTAGTTTCAGTTTCCTTGTAATTGGTAGCAACACTCAGTTTGTTGGAACAGTTGCATATTGTTCTTAGTATCTCTGAAGGGACTGATCTCAACCTCAAATAACCCTTTTGATGTTATTTGTGTTGTGCAGTTGCATTATGCAAAGTGTAGGATCAATGTTTATTGAACATCCTAAACTAAAAGTCAGGATATTTTGACGTCTGTTGCATTGGGTTTGATAATTCTTTTGTCAAATACCCTCTTATGATTTATGAAAGTGCAATAATAATCACTGACATACTTCTTTAATAGCCTACTTTTTCAGTCAGATGTAATGATCTTAGCTCAATACCTTTATGTTACTCATATCAGTAAGTGCATAAACTAAAATCTGAACCTACATAAATTTAAGGCTGGAAGATTTTTAAATAATTGATTAATATCGCAACTGATATAGTTTGAACTAATTTACATAATCATTAAATACAACAAGCTATATTTCAAAGAATTTACTGTATGTTTTGATTATAATTTCCTTGGAATTGGTCATGTAAGCAGCACGATATTATAAAATGGGATACAGTGGGATCACAAAGTCATCGTGCAGTTCCGCTGAGAGTTAACAGCATTTTATCATGCAACAGGGTTCAGCCTTTATTTAGATGGTTGCCTAAATAATCAGGTCTTAGTCTTTGATCCAGCAGGCCTTCACGTGCTTTCTGTTGATTTCATGTGGATGGCAGTTTATCTTTGTGTGATTTCAACAAAAATTTAAAAAAAAAACCTCCCTTGCCTTTCATTTATTCGAAGTGAACTTGTCGTCATGTTGCTTCAGCCAGTTTCTGTGTGAGAGAACCTTGAGAAATCCTTTATGTACAAAGATCTAAGAATGCTTACGTGCCAAGACAGTCCGACATCACACACGCGCACGTAGGTACAAACAGTACTATTCTCTTTTTTCCTCCGTATCACACTCATCCACCCACTGATCCACACACAGAGACAGAGCGAGCAGTATTGATTTTGCTGTCTCCAGGCTGTTGAGAGTGTGTATACTTGTGTGAGTGTGTGTGTATAAAAGGGATTAAGGCCTCGCTCAGCTGAGATACCATCAGCCATCAACCCTGCTAGTCCGCTTCGGGCTTTCCCGGCTGCCGCATTGTCTATTCTGCTCCGCTATGTGAAAAATGTTGAATATCAACAATGGCTTTCAGTGGTGTATTGTTGAGTTTTTGTATGAACTAATCTTGCCTCAGTGAAAGAGACCTAGGGCTTGGACAAAACGTCTAGAGCCACAGCATTCCTAGCTGGCTCTCCCCTTGAACACTGAGCAGAAGGCTGGGGCTAAGGGAGGCAGAGTAGAGGGAAAGGCAGGCTGGAGGAGAGGCAGGGAGAGGGAAGAGCCGAGGCCGGGCTAGGAGCTCCAAGGCTGGGGGGTTAAGAGCATGACGGGCCAGGGGGAGGTTTGGGGGGTAAGAAAATGTGAAGGCAGGAAGGGCGGGGTGGAAAGGTGAGAGAAAGGTGAGGAAGATGGAGGCTGAGGAGAGGCCGCGAGGGAGATGCTGGAAGAGGAATGCTGTGCTGAAGGAAGGATGAGAGAGGAGCAGGAAGATAAAGTGATAGTGGAGAAAAAGTGTGAGTCAGCAGAGGCTTACAGGGGAAGAAACAGACATATATATATATATATATATATATTACTTTTCATGCATAGAGTCAGATAAGTGTAGGTGAGCTTTAAAACTGAAAAAGAAGCCTGCTAAGATACTGCATGTAGACTACGCTAGAGAGAAAAGAGAAAAGCACATGCAAAAAGACCACAAGAGAGGAAGAGAAACAGACAGAAATTCAGTATTACAGCGTTCTGAGTGGGGAGTCTGCTCTCCTTTTCCTGCCATGGATGTAATGCTGGTTTGGACAGCAGCTGACGTCCAATCAGACAACAGGACCGTGGCCCCTGTCATAATGACAACCATGACATCATGGCAAGGTAAGCTGACTGAAAGATTGGGTGAATGATTGACTGACTCTGTTAGCGACTGACTGCAGAACAGTTTGATCCGCTGTCTTATCCTGCCTTTTTCTTTTTCCTTCTCCTCTCCCATGCTGATTAAAGCATGCTAAGCCAAGAAAGAGTCCAGCTGTGGGTGCAGATGTAGAGTGAGTCAGGAATCTCTGTCTCCACGCAGGCCTTCCTGGCTGTGCTGGTGTTTTCATGCAGGTTTATCTTGTAGCGAAATGCCTGTGGTTCTGTGTGTCTCTGTGTGTTGCCATCTCTGTGGTCTCTCTCTCGGTGTGCCTCCTTCCTGTCCTGCTGTGTCTTATGGGTCTCCTGCAGAGATAGGAAGAGAGAGACAGAGGATGGGACGCAGTCAATATGATCTTTTCGTCTTCTTGTTTGAAGTTGACATATCCTGCATGTTCATCTTGGAGTTATGGCAGAGTAGCATCATGGTAAATTAGCGGTTTTCGGCACAGTTAGTTTGAAAAAAAAATATTTATCTGCATTGTATTTTCAGCTTCATTCATCCATCCAGAGCAAGTTTATGGCCCCAACACATTCACACAAGGAGCAGACCAGTGCAGCCCTCAGCTGTCTGTAGAACAGATGCTTTGCTTAGAAGCTCAGCAACTGTGTTCCACTTCCATAGCATATTGTTGGTGTTATGAGCTGCTTTTGATCATTTAAAACAGGATAGGATTCAATATTTTCACCTCCTTCAATTCATCAATCTGACTTAGGAATGACAAAACCGAAAGTGTGTTTTTTTGTTGATCTTGGTGTTTCACTGCCAAATATGTTTGGATTTAATTTTTCCTCTTTTCCTTTGCACATTGCATCAGTGTGTATAAACAGTGAACTTAAAACCCAAGGGTTTTTCTCCAATATGTCTGCTGATATCAGTGCTACAACTACAGGAACATTTATTATAATTTTGCATTCTTTCTTGTGTTAACACACTGCAAACTTAAAACCTTCTTGAATTAGCATGTAATGTAGAATTTGGGGCGTAGTTCCTGCTCAGATTTTTGCTCATATTTAAAAGTGACCTCTAAGTCTTCCTGCTTGTGCTCTCAGACCTGCAGACTGCAGTTTTGTGCTCTTCATCGTGCATCATGTGGAGACATTTAAGCTGTTGGAAGTGCCAAGAAGTTGTAAACCGAATTTCTCTCACATTTCTTTGCAGATTATACAAGGTGAAGATCTCTGATGGTTTTTCTGGCATTGGATTCTTCATATTTTCATATTTCTCATTTTTTTTCTCTTCAAAGCAGTGAATACATCCAGCAGAGTTACAGTTTTCTCTTTTGTACTGATTGTGGCACAAGTGCTTCGTGACGCCATTGTCACTTGCTTGTGTGTGGCACTGCGGGGTCGACAGGGTCAACGTGGTGTTTGTGTGTGTGTGGCAGTTTGGGGTCAGTTCCACAGAAACCTGGAACTGAGAGATGGTTGGCTTAACCCCTCACCCCCAACACACACACACACACACACACACACACACACACACACACAGACGCACACGGAAATGTGAACATCAGTGCAGTCTAATCGGCGGCCCCTGGTGATTTGTCCTCTCAGCTTGAAGCCCTGTCATTCCTCCCAGCTCTCCTCACAATTACAGCCCTGAACTGAACTAGAAAATCTGCTCCAATCTATCAATTAGTCCTGAGGCCACTTGCTGTGTGTGTGTGTGTGCGTGTGTGTGTGTCTGTGTGTCTGTGTGTGTGTGTGTGTGTGTCCATCCATACATATATTCTTGTGAGGACCAAACAGGAAGACTGAAGGTGGCAACAGATTGTGATTTTTTTAAATCTTTTTTTCTTTTGCATCTCTAAAGCATCGGTGTGTCAACATTCAACAAATACATATTTCTACCTTCTTGTAATTATTGTAAACAAATTAGGGGGAAGATGATTGTTAGCCTCACACCAATGCTCCTTAAAATTAAGACATTTATCCATTTCTCGAGTGCCTTTGGAGCGTGCTGCAAGTTATTGCTCTTTCTGTCTTTGGCCGTTCTGAAACGACTGAAGACGACATTTTGGAAGAGCTTTTTTTTTTTTTCTAGTTGTCAGAAACTTTAATTTTAGCTTCATTTATACTCAAAGCACCTCACCACCTTCCTATTTTGAGCCGTAAAGCACGGCAGAAGAGTTTGTTCCAAATTGGGAAAGACTGGGCCTGATGTTTAACTCCCTTTGTCTCATACATGTAATTTTTAAACATCAATACATCAGTGTTAAGTTACCATTATTAACTCGGTGCAATTATTGTAAACACATTTGTCCTTGTTGGAGGACAACAGTCAAGGTTCTCAAAGATCATCATGACGTGTTACACTGTAACGCAGAGTGGTTTTAGAAGGACTTAACAGTTAGTTTTATCTGCATTTACAGTGGAGCAAATCTGTCATGTATGTGTTGTAAACAAATACAAATGAGTGCTCACATTTTGTAATTATGGTAATTGTAGTGATATTTCAAAAGTAATATCGTAACATAAAAATAAAAATGGGACACTGTGGGACACTCTGTGGATGAAAACCCTTTCAGATGTCCTTTTTTAGTAGTTTTCATATAAAAAGTCCTAATGTTTTATTTTCTCACTAAATGTAGAACATGTAAGCATGCCTGATCGTAGCATTCCTACGCCCTCTGACTTGTCCTCATTGAGACATGCATGTCATAGGCCTATAAATAAAGAGTTGAAGACAGCCTCAGGTCCATAGGTTTAAAGTAAGGCAATGGAAAGTCCTCACAAGAGTAGCAAATCCAAATGAAAGTGGGCGTGTGTGAGGTGGGATAAGAGGACGGAGTGGACAGGGGAAGAGAAGAGAACACTGTGGTCAGAGCGGGATGCGGTGCGGGGGAGGAGGGGAGGTTTTCATTGCCAGGGGGGAAGGCAGGCCTGACTGGGCAGCAACAGAGACGCTTAGTGCCGCCTGGCTTCCTCCTAAAGACTCGGCCTCCTTTTCCCCCCGTGCATCTCGCTCCTGTGTCTCCTCTTTCTCCTCTGCCACCACTCTCTCCATCACTTTCCTCTCTCCTCCTTTTGTCCCTTCCTTCCTTCACCCTCCAGTTCCTCCCGCCTGGTCTCTTTTTCTTGCTCCATTCCTCCATTTCTCTCACTTCCATAGTTTTTTCTCCCTCCCTCCACGTCTGGGCCATTACAGACACTCAGCGGCGGGCTGAGAGGCGGGGGTGGGTGGCTGTGGTGGTAGGATGGGGAGATTGAGGGGGCACAAAAGGCCTGAGATGCAGCGGTCCAACGAGAGTGGCTGGCTTTGAAAAGAAGCCGGACGGCTTCTTAATGCAGCAAGTGGACGGACAGACTCGGATAGACAGACAGAGCAGATTCAGCCCTTTATCCTCATCCTTTAACTGATGCCTGTTTTGGCCAAAAAAGCACATCATCTGCCGTGTGCCCTTCCCTCTACGCCTGATGTTTTATCAAACACATTAAGATGCGATGGGGGGGATAGGTGGAGGGAGGAGGGAAAGAGGGTAATATAGCTGAAGGCCAGACACTTAACAGGTTGACAGAGAAAACTTTTCCGCTCCCTAAGAGGAGAAGCATACATGTGGATGGGATAGAAGAGTGTGTGCTTTCATTTCTTTCAGAGGTTGCCTCTCTTTTATTGTGCATTAAGACATTACACATTAGTGTTTTAGCGTTCCTGCTGCACAGCTGTTGTTCGGTTTAACGCTAAGGGACAGTGAATTTGGATGCAGCACATTAAGAGAGCTGAAAGTGCTGCTTGCAGGTTTTACAAAACTGCTTTTGAATCTGCAGCTCAGCTAATAAACTCACCGCACTAAAATGCAAACACGATCAGACTCGTACCTTGTAACAGCAATATTTTCAGTGGGGAACCTAAAGCTCTTTACTTTGTTGACTTTTTTTTTTTTTTTCTTGCAGTTAAGAGATAAAAAATAAAATAAAAATAAAGTAATTTTACAAATCCATAACTCTTTGTGACATTAATCTTTGTGACACACCATCAAGTACAAACAACACTTTTCTTCAAAAGCTTCAATTGTAAACAGATGAGCTGAATGGATTTACTGTCCAGCTCCCATCTTTTATCAACCTAATTCTCCGACCAATTATGGCAGTCTGTATTCGGCGGTATTATTTCACTCAGATGGGAGGGGTCCTCAAATGATATTTTCTGAATACCGTTTATTTACTTGCGTTGACTGTCTCTTTGTTGTGGGTGGTGTAGGAGTATTATTATGGATTTGGCTCTAAGAGCTTAGCTGGTCTGCGATTCTGATATCAGCTGGACTTTGATCAAATGCAACAAGCTCTAAATCCACTTTAATCAGCGCTGTGTTAGTTCACCAATGAGGAGACAACAACTGCAGCTCAGGGGCATTTCTGAGAAGCTGGGGAATAAACGCAGACTTATAGACACTTTTGTTTGTTCTAATACACTTACATTAATCTAAAGTTGCACTAAAGGCAATTCTGGAAATCCGTGTTGCTCAATGAACAAGCAGTAATAGTTACTGAATTATTTCTCATTTGGTATAGTACAGTTCCTACACTATGTAGGATTGTGCTAATTATTTGGTCCACATTATGTTTAAGAGCTACTCCTCCCAGAGATTTCCTGCCAGTTAAATCAAAGTGTAGCTGATGCAGTTTTACTCCCATATTAAATGTATTCATAACAACATTTAGGTGTAAAATACATAACTTTTCAGAGCTTTTAACTGTGAGACACCCACAGCACATTTTAAATCTGTCACAGGCTAATCATGGCATTCAACTAATTGTTGACAGAGATTAAACGGTTTCTGTTTATATGAAAATGTTACTGATTGTGCTATATCTTCAAAAAGAAAAAAAAAAGACTCTCTCCACTTAATGTCATAAAATACAGTTTTTATCTTGGAAAGAAGATGACACAAAATGAGTAAGTATCAAGGACTGGTTGTTTACTTTTATATTATATCTGTATCTAAAATTGCATCTGTTTG